GGAATAACTCTCATTTTTGTAGCATTTCTTATATCAGGGCGTTCATGAACCCTCGAAAAATGAAGTATAAAAACTTAGACTGAAAAAATTTAGGTATTGTAGTTTTTGAGACCTAGAAAGCTACAAATCTTTAATTTTAAAATAGACTTTTCATGGACATACAAAAACGCTGTCGGCCATTTTAGTCTATAGATTATCTATGCTATAACTTCAACCGGTAGTAAACAAAAACTCTTAAGCACGTAGAAAATAGCCTATCTGAGTTTATAATAAAAAAAAATGGGTGCGTGTACTTATGTAGGCGCGTGAGAAGTTATCCTTCTTTGGCATCGTTTAAAATTAGTTTTTAATTGCATGCAAATAATTAATAACAATAAATTAATAAAAAGTCTGGAAAAGGACACAGTCAATAAAGTTCAGTTTTAATTTTAAAAAATAAATAAATAATCAAAATATTCAATTAAAATCGCTACTGAATATAATTTATTAGAACGTATGTGATTTGCACTTGTATGAAACTCAAACACGTATTCCGAATATACAAACTAGAAACATGTGGATAAATATTATAAATATGAATACCTATAACTGTTACTCTATTACAAAAAATAAAGATGTGGTTTTTGGTTCTACTATACCAATGGTCAAGAGATGGCGCTGTAGTCTCCTGAATCGCGCTTTGGTTCCGTTGTCCCAGATTAATAAATACTTTTGATAGGCCTTCACAATGCAGTCGTTAGCATCCACTAAATAGAGATTCTATTTCTATTTTGTTGGTAGATTTTCTTAATGTGCGGTAAACACAAAAGTATAAGTAATTTTTTGTGTTACAGTGATGCGCGCGCATCTTAAAATTTCACTCTCATCATTTTTTCATAACGCGCCTAAAGAAGTATAACTTCAAAAACATGATTTCTAATAAATACCAAGAAAAAATATAGTAATTATCATTATTGTATTGTACGAGAATGTAAAAACACATCCTAAAAAACTCCAGGAAAGTTGTGGATTAAAGCACCGAAAGAAATTAACCTACGCAATACCTGGTTAGAACTTGCTAAAAGGGATCCTGCAACTTTATCGACTCATAGTAAAATTTATTTTTGCGAAGATCACTTTGATGTAAGTCCTCATTGAATAATATTTTAAGTCTCTTCATTTATTATCAGTTTTAATAATACAAGTTTTAAAGTTATGTATGAATGACATTTAGTTGTTTACTACCAAGAAGCTTATATTTACTACCAAAGAGACATCACAATAACGGCGGATGTGGCGAACAGCGTTTTTAGTGTTTAAAAAGTATAAACTGAAAAATTAAAAAAAAAACTACAGCAGTCTTCTGCTTTTATGAAGTGAAATCGATTTATTTAGGTTCCTTAGACCAAATACTTTAAGAAATAAACACTTTAGATTTAAACATCAAGCAGTTACATGCTTTAAAAATAATAAAAATTATAACTATAATTGCTATTTCTTCTTTCAAATGTTTAATACTTGTAAAAGTATTCATTTGACATTGTGGGTTTACCTATAATGCGAAGATATGGCGCTGCCTTGCAGCTTAAGAATAGCTAGAAAGAATTTCGACGCGGTCCGTGAGGGCCGCGGTAGCATAATTGGTCAGTGCATTCTCCCGGATTGCGAAGGGTGCGGGTTCGAGTCCCGTCTGCTGCCTGGTCCGCGTGGAATTTTTTCTAGTTATATTTTCTTTAGATTTAAACATCAAGCAGTTACATGCTTTAAAAATAATAAAAATTATAATAAACATTTATTTAATACAATAGGCTAGTTGACCCTTTTTGGAAAAAGGTTGTAAATGGTTAATTAATGTTCTAGTAGACCGAAAAAAAATGTATTGTATTTTTTTGAGACCTAGAAAGCTACAAATCTTTAATTTTAAAATAGAATTTTCATGGACATACAAAAACGCTGTCGGCCATTTTAGTCTATAGATTGTCTATGCTATGATGTCAACTGTAGTAAACAAAAACTCGTAAGCACGTATAAAATAACTTATCTGAGTTTATAATAAAAAGAACATGATTTCTTATAAATACCACGAAAAATAAAGTAATTATCATTATTGTATTGTACGAGAATATAAAAACACATCCTTGAAGACAACAGGAATGTTGTGGATTAAAGTGCCGAAAGAAATTAACCTACGCAACTTTATTACACTTATTCATATGTTGTATCAGTTTTATGTTTATTACTACATTGTAATAATAAATGCACTGTACTTACATAGATGCCTTGTCGTTTCTCTGCTCCGCAGAGCAGAAATCGGGGTTTAGTGCAAAAAATTCGCCAACCATCAATGCGTCAATTCTTGGCAGCTTTCTGCTTTCACAAAGTCGGCATCCATAATTACTTTTGTTAAAAAAAATCAATAAACGGAAACGTTTCTAAAGTTAAAAGTGTTTTAAGATACATTTATTCAGACTAAAGAATCCACCCACAATAACACGCGAATGACATTTAGTTGTTTACTGAAAAAGACGTCACAATCATGGCGGATGTGGTGAACAGCGTTTTTAGTGTTTAAAAAATATAGACTAAAAAATATTTTTTAAAATTAAATTTCTACAGCAATCTTCTGCTTTTAAGAAGTGAACTCGATATATTTAGGTTCCTTAGACCAAATACTGTAAGAAATAAATATTTATTTAATACAATTCGACATGAGTCAACTAGCCTATTCGACATGCGTCAACTAGCCTATTATAATTTCTTATTGTTTATTGGACCAAAACATTACTTAGAAGAACAGAAACTTTACTATAAATTAATACTTGGTGATCTAACTCGACTCTTTGATCATCTTCGTCAGCAGCAGAGCATTTACTTTAATGCTTACCGCAGTATGTGGTTGGGTTTCTTCAAAATTAATATGTGCAGGAATCTCTGCTCTTGCATGACTCGACGCAATTGATTGATCAGCCCAACAAAATCCTAGTTAATCTACTAAAAGCGTCTTCTTTGCAGAGCTTTTACTCATAACCAGTGGTGACTGTGTTTTTAGCAACAGAACCGAAACAAGTTTTGCCGCCTCTTAATCCTCCCACTCCGAAAATGTACTTACTTTTTTTTATTAAAAGGTCACCTGCTTAGCCTCAGACCTATCCGCCTCTGCTCACAACTCATCTGCAACCATGAGGTTATAGTCTGCAAAAGTGCCGCAGTACAATGCCTTACATTAAAACCTAGGAGTTTGATGTTCTTGCGAAATTGCAATCAATCGAAGTCCAAAAACCTAGTGGGTCCAATGCATCACAGCTACAGCAGTTTTACTCACTCACTTAAATTAATTATTGAGTGAACCTACAGTTATGGGTATGTAAAATTAACTAACTATGGTCCAGCAATATATCTGTTTTCAAATTAATTATTTATTATTGTGGAATAAAAGCACGCTTTATGATTGACACTTTATTCTAGCACTATATTTTTACATTCAGAGCTAGCTAAGACTTCTTGACACTAGAAGATCGGTAACTGGAGTAATACTTCACAGTAAAAAGTGTGTTTTTAAACGACAGAGTGGAGACCACCTCCATCAAATTTTTTTAGTGAAATTTCATTCTATTGAATATTGCGAATAACCTGTGAGAAATTCAAATATTAGTAACGCGACAGAGTGGTTGTGACTTAGGAATTCTGTTAGGGCTTGTTCGAGGATGATAGAAGGACAAAAGTATTAATAAAAATTGTATAATATTTTTTTATTAATAATTCTTCTTTATCTTTACAGTGGAAATATTTATTTATCACTTTAACAGCATTTTGCATTATGCTGAGGTAGGGTCCTGATTTGCCATTCTCCTTTCTCCACATTTTTTTTTGTTTGATTATTGAAGTGAAACTTCTTTACGCACGCTTGACTTGGGGGGTAAGCTGCTGAATGCGAAACGCGTTACGAAAAGTGTATTCGGGCGAGGCGAACGGGAGTTGAGTGGGGGATATAAGCAAGAGAATCACATTTTCTTTCTCTCTTTCTGTTATAACTTGTAAATGAAATATGTATATGTTCATACATGTATATATTGTACACATACATATACAGATGGAGCTAAAGAAGTTTTACTTCAGTCGTGTGGTCATAAGCACACTCGTTTTTTTGTTATTATATCTAATTTTGTTTTTTTTAATATGTGTGTTATGCCTATATAATGTTTTTTCTTTTTTTCAAATTTCAAAAGTGATATAATTAAGTAGCTGCCCGCACTCGCTTCGCTTCTTTGTAAACTATAGTTTTTGTTATAATATAAGTAAATCCTTTGACAGATGACACACAAAAACTAACGTGGCTTTCTATTGAAAGAATTTTCAAAATCGGTTCAGTAGATCCCGGGATAACTCCCTACAACCTCACAAGCTTTACAGTGGGACCAAGATCTTGTGGCACTTAGATGACATTGACAGGACGGCGCTGCTCGTGAAAAGTGGTAAAAGGTGGATTAATTAGTACGTAAAATCTCCTCAATAAAGGGAACTTTATAATTTTAAATAACTCTCAAAGACTAATAGGACATATAAAAGGCTTATTTACACCTTCCCGTATAAATATAAAGCTTTCTTAAACCTTCTTTTAAGTAGTTTTTCATCTTGGCCGCACTGTTATTCTTTAGAATATTAGTATAGATTATAAAAGAAACGTAAACATTACTGATTTCGTTGATAAATATTTTTATTCATATATCGATTTTAATGTCCAGAGCTACCGATTTAACATAATTTTATGACTCATTATACAATTTTTTAGTCATTGATCATTTTTATTGGTACTATATTAAGCGGATGGTAAAATACTGAATAATTAATAACTAAGTAAATACAAAAAATTTAACATGCATGTTCCTTATTGAAAACCGATTATTTTTAATCAAGACATCACTAGCTTTGATGGACACGTCAATTCTTTAAATTACTTGCTCAGTGGTTAATTCACGTCATTTTGCAGCTGGTAAATGGTGTGTTTTACAAAATATAATAAAATGAAAGTCATTACAGACAGTTAGTGGAGTTAACTAGGATAAATTAATCTATTAATACGTTTCTAAGGGATTTATTTTTGAATTTCTAACTCTATAGCCATATTGAAAGTTAGAAGGTGAGTGGGTGCTCTACTAAACTTTGTGTTTCTGTTTGTAATGTAAAGCTGATTTATAAGTCTCTTATTGCCATTATTTAACAGGTTTACTATTCAGTAATTAAATAGTGTTTAAGTAAATACGATTTTTTTTAGAAGCATAATGGCACCTTCTACAGACTGGGATGAGATCAAAAGATTAGCTGCAGATTTTCAAAAAGCTCAGTTGAGCTCCACTTCTCAAAGGTATGTTTTACTGGAAAGTTACATAGTTATAATTAATTATTAAAGAGTCAACAGTTTAGAGTCGAGACAATTCTTTCATTTATTATTTCTCATAAATTACAGATTATCTGAGAGAAACTGCATAGAAATTGTTACAAAATTAATAGAATTGAAACTTCTGGATGTAATTTTTACAACAGATGGTAAAGAGTACCTTACCTCTCAGCAACTTGTGAAAGAAATAAGAGATGAATTATATGTGCATGGTGGCCGGATAAACACAGTGGACTTGGCTAAAGAGCTAAATGTAGATTTAAATCAAATCAATACCAGTGTCTCTGAAATAATAAAAGGAAAAGAAGTACAGTTAGTGTCTGGCTATTTGATAGCAAGTTATTACTTGGAGAAAATAGCAAGGGAAATAAATGAAAAATTGCAATTGCAAGGACAAATAACTGTAGGAGAATTAACATTACAATATGACCTGCCAGCTGATTTATTACAACACAGTGTTTTGGAGAAGTATTTGGGCAAAATTATTATTGGCAAACAAGATGCTTCTGAACCAAGAACTTTCTATACAGAAGAGTATATAACAAGAACCAAGGCAAAAATCAAAGGAGCTTTAACAGGTCTCTTAAAGCCAACTCCTGTAACAGTGATTGTCAATCATTGTAATATGGCAGAACGCTTATTCATGATGTTATTTGATCAATTGTGTGCTCCTGGTGTATTGACTGGGCGTCAAGCAGGTGCATTATACGTGCCATCATGTTACACCAAATCTCAAAATGACTGGGTAGTCAACTTTTTCAAACAAAACAACTACCTAGAATATGATGCAATATCTAGGCTAGGAATATCAGACCCTAAAGGCTATGTTAAAAGAACTTTGACAAATAAAGACTTAACTTTTCTCAGCACATGTGTTATAGGATCACAAATAAAGCAGCATCTGGAGACAGCTTTAGAGGAGTGTATTTCATCTAAAAGTTATTTGGATGTTGTTTCTTTGCTTCCTTCTGTTCTATCCAGCACAGACATTGAAAATATCTTAGAGTCTCTTTTAAAAAATAATACTAAATCTACCATTTTATTTGATAATACAGGTGGGTCCGCTAATTATGATATTCCTGTAATAACTAATACATATTTGTATGTATTGTAATGTCCTAAGTTTGTTCATTTATTTGTTGCCAGTTTTCAGTAACAATTACATAGAGCAGTTGAAACAAAATTGCTTGCCTATGGTACAGAAAAAAGCTGAAAACATTGTCAAATCTGGACAATATCAGCAGTTCCATTTGGAGAGACAAATAAGCAGGTCAGCTGAAATGACACAACACAGCCACGTGGACCACAAAGCTGAAAGACGAGAGGAGCGCAGAAGAAAAGCTGCATCAGGGAAGGGTGGTGGTGGCACTCAAGGAAGAGAAACTAAAACAAAAGCAGTAAAGAAGCATCAAAGATCAAAGCAAATTGCCAATGATTCAGACTCTGATGAATCATCTAATGTAATAAAAAAAACCCAAGCCGAGTTAGAAATTGTGTCAGTTGATGATGTAGAAAATAAAATCAGGGTAACATTAGAAAATGAAGGTCTGGACGATTTAGTAACTCAAGTTGCAGAATTTCTGCAAAAGTAAGAACAATTTACACTTAAATGTTAACCTTTCTCTCTTCAATTGTCCATATATATGATTGATATTATTTTTAATTCTATTTTCAGGAGTCTGAATCAGACTGCATTAGAAATAGCAAAGGTTACAGCAGAAAAACTTCTACAAGATGCCAGTCAGAATAGAAAACAAACTCACACAACAGCTCAAGATAAAATTAACATTCTAGTTAATGACATAAAATTGTTTGAAAAAGGTTTAAAATTATTGCCTCCTGACCAGCAATCAAACTTTATAAAATATCTTTTGAAGAGCTTAGGTGGTGATGTACTTGCAGAATTTTGCAAATATGCTGCGAATCAATGCAACCTTTCATTGCAAGTTGACACATTAACTGTTGAGCAGAGGAACAAAATTATTCATGATTTATCAGATGAATACAAAAAACCACTATCTGCATTAAATGCAGTATTGAGTGAACAGAATATTGAATCGTTTTATGTAGCTGTTGATGCCAGTTTGGCAGTATGTGGTATGATTTTAAAAAAAGTGGACAAAAAGAAGGACAAGTAAGTTGTATACCTTACTTTTAAAAATTATCTTTTAACATCATATTTAAATGGTAAATTATTTTAAACTTTCATGGTCACTAATACTATAGTAATATATATTTGGATCGACTTTCGGAGTATTATGTTCGAAATAGAATTGCGGTTAACGAGACAAAGTGCATACATATACAATTTACAAGACGCAAAAATGCTATCGAATACAATTTCAAATTAAATAATACTAGTTTAAGCAGGGCAACCACAGTCAAGGATTTAGGGTTATATCTGGACACAAAACTGACATTTGAAAAACATTTTGAGCACATTATAAATAAAGCTCATAAAAACATAGGATTTATTTTCAGAGTAACAAAGGAATTTAGCGATGTAACTTGCCTTAAAATGTTATATTACGCATATGTTCGGAACATCCTTGAATATGGGTCTAGTATCTGGAATCCGCAATACACAACATACGTGCACGCTATTGAAAAATTGCAAATAAAATTCACAAAATTCCTGGGCTTTAAGCTAAACAAGGGAGTTTGTGAATACAGAGATTCATGTATTAGGTTCGATCTTATACCGCTTAGTGACAGGCGTCGCATGCGGGACACGATGGTTCTGTATGACATTTACTCAGGAAAACTGGATTGCATAGAGCTAGTTAACCGGATTATCACACTTAGTGCCCCCGTAAAAAGAACGCGACACACTCAATTGTTTCACGTGCCGCTGGTGCGAATAAATTACGAAGCTAATGACATGACCGTAAGACTGCCTAGAACATATAATAAACACTTTTCTGAAATCGACATCTTCCATTTATCCAGAAATGCGTTTAAGGTTGCTTTGTGTAGATTATTAGTAAATAATTTTAAAACCCTCCATTGAACTTATTATTAATCTGTCAACATGTCCACTATAACAATTGAATCATCAATTTCTAATCTTTTTATTTTATTTTTTTCTATTTGACTATTCAATGCAATATTTTAATGCAATAATTCTAGTGATTATTAATATAATTTTTCATTTAGTTTAGTAATTAGTACAATATTATTATTTATCAATTCAATCTATTTATTATTCTAGTGATTATTGAAATGACATTACTGTTACAGACTCATTATTTCATTGACATGTTGCATTTATTAAATCAATTATTAATTTCTGGTTTCCTAAACATACACACTTAATATTGCCGCCATGTAAACCATGCGAAAAATGTGATAAGATACCTACCTACGCAATGTGCACAACCGACTACGCGCACTGGCTCCGGCTCATGCATTTCGCTGTTTTTGTCGGCTCGTTTCGATATGATTATTTTTTTAACGGAAGGCATGCACACTCACACACACACACACGCTACACCAAACACTTACGTACACACTCATTTACACAAAGTTAGTTATCATGCTCCTTTTATAATTCTGATTTATATAGGTATTTATATTTATCGCAAAATTAATTTGAATCTTTGTTGGTATTTCTTTTATATTATTGTTAATTTGTAATTTCTACCCTACGTTATCATTTTAATTTTTAAATTGAATACAAAGTGAGTTTCTGTAATTGGCTGAAGTACCGTTTAAAATTTTATATTAGATTATATTGTGTAAAACGCTGTTGAAACTTGTTGATGATAAATAAATAAAAATAAATAAATAAAATAAATAAAATAATATAATATTTCTAACTTTTTAGGCTTTTGATTCAAAACCACAGAGAAAAACTGATCTCTGAATTAGAGAATTGTGATGACCCTGCATTAAGCCTCCACATCGCGGTCTTGGCAATATTCACCATAGTGACACAAAACATGCTTCATGCATCTGGTAGACTAGTGCCTGCAATAACATTATATTTGAAATCTCATGTCAAGGAAGAACAATTTCAACAACTTCAAACATGTCAAGGTAATGTAAAAGTGATAATTTTATCAAATCCTTTCAATTTAGATCCACTTGTAGCAATTTTGCTAAATCTCAATTTCACTAAAACTAGTCATAGCCTATACAATAATGTCAAATTGACATTGATGGTTTGACATTTTTCTATGGAATAGATCTAGTTTTAGTTGAATCGAGATTTAGCAAATTAGCTACAAGTGGGCCTTAGAAATGTAAAATATATAATTAATTGTGCCTCAGGAGCTGCAGCAATAAAAGCTGATAATTTTATACATATGAAATGTCACTCATAAATTGATGACCATCTGCATGATTTTATGAGCTTGCAGGCCATAGTTTTAATGGTATCAACATCCTAATATAGTCTTCGTCATATGAAATTAAAAAAAACTAAATTAGTTTTTGTGTCTAAAATAAGTATTTTTTAGTGTCTAATCTAGCTTTTAGAGTACAATGTAGCTTTGTTGTTACTGAAATTGGAGCAATATATTTTATAATTTTTATAATATTTTTTTATGTATAAAGGTGGCAAACAAGCATATAACCCGCAGCAGTTGTTATGAGATCACTATAGCCTAAAAACGCTTGCTATACCAAAGAAAGAATGTATTAAGAACTTCACTCCATCCCCATCTCCATGGAGCCCTAGAAACCATACTTACCAAAATTTTGTACTATTTCACTGTGGTCTTCTGTAAGCTGGACAATACTTCCCCAGACAAGGTCTCTGATTTGATAAGAAATATGCCCATCACTCTGAAAAAAAAGACTGATGACATCTTAAAATATATTTATTTACAGAAAATTATAATTTATAAAAATATATACCAACACATTTATACAAAATGTTACAGGAACTGCAGTTTACAAATTGTTCTGGCTTGCAAGACACTGTCTTAACTTCATTAATAAATCTAGATATTAATGTTTAATTAATCAATATTATTTACAGAATTGGTCACAAAATATTTAACTGCTGCTGATGAACAGAAAACAGAACTGGAGGAGAAACTAAGAAATACTTTGCCTATCTTGAAGGAGATGGTTCAAGAAATAAAAAAACAAAAGTGACATCTATTTATCTGTACAGTTACAAATAAGTAATTAGATTTCCGTTTGTATTTTATTCTTGAGTAAATTTATAATATAATGTTGTTAAAAGTTGGGAACATACTTTATTTACTCTTTCACCTATCTTATATTCCGTTATGGTCAATTCATACTAGCGCAGAGTCGAAGCAAATTTCAGATACAGAATAGTAACAGCAAATTCACCCTTATCTCCGCACTTCCATCTGTCAAAAACCATTAGCGAATAGAGGCCTATTCGCACAGCTCCGGCTCAACTCGCGCGGTCGCAGTCGTTATAGTACAGTAAATCTGTCGAAAAAAATATCGTTTCAGTGAAAAAAAAACCTAAAGGGTAAGTCTTGTTTTTTCTGTTGCCAAATGACGTCAGTAAGCCACCTTGGCGATGGGCATGTTCAACTCGTAGGCGTTTTTTGAAAAACTCAAAAAAACCGTCAAAATTTTTTTGAAACGCATTTTTCTTGTTTTGTATGCATTTTAGAAACTTTTTTTTGGCCATAATTGTAGAGGGCGTTGAGTACTACAATTTATGTCATTGTTACAATCTCGTACAACAAAAAATGCGCATTGTAGGTGGCGCTAAAGTCTCAAAAAAAGGGTTTTTTCACTTTTTCACCCTGAGAATATCATTTTAATGGAAAACTTTAAATGGCAAAGTTGTTTCGTACATAATTACCAACTTTTGTATAAACCATTTTTTTGTATTACTTACCGTTTTCAAGTTAGAAATTGCGCAGGTATGAAAAATCCAATAGAGCGGTTTTGGGCAGTTCAAGTAACCATTTGCAGTGCACATTTCAATGTACGTTTTTACTATTTTTTTTACAATCATGAAAAAAAATAAAAATAAAACAATTATTTTTATTTTTTTTTCATTTTTTTTTGTTTTTCAATCATGAAAAAAAATAAAAAGTAGTAAAACGTACATTGAAATGTGCACTGCAAATGGTTACGTGAACTGCCCAAAACCGCTCTATTGGATTTTTCATACCTACGCAATTTATAACTTGAAAACGGTAAGTAATACAAAAAAATTGTTTATACAAAAGTTGTTGGTAATTATGTACGAAACAACTTTGCCATTTAAAGTTTTCCATTAAAATGATATTTTCAGGGTGAAAAAGTGAAAAAACACTTTTTTGAGACTTTAGCGCCACCTACAATGCGCATTTTTTGTTGTACGAGATGGCAACAATGACATAAATTGTAGCACTCAACGCCCTCTACAATTATGGTCGAAAAAAAAGTTTCTAAAATGCATACAAAACAAAATAAATGCGTTTAAAAAAAATTTTGACGGTTTTTTGAATTTTTCAAAAAACGCCTACGAGTTGAACATGCCCATCGCCAAAGTGGCTTACTGACGTCATTTGGCAACAGAAAAAACAAGACTTACCCTTTAGGTTTTTTTTTCACCACTCAACCTACAGATTGACTGTACTATTATTCTTTCTATGGTGATGCGCTCACTACCAGTGTGACCAGATTCAGTATTTTAATACTTTTTCAGTATATTTCATCGATTTTTCCGAAATTCAGTATATTTTCAGGTATATTGCTGGCAGTCAGTATTTTTGGGTATATTTTGGTAGAAGTTATGGCACCACCGTAGTGAGTGATCGTCTTTGCGACAATGTTTGCGGAATTCCCCGGAACGCGAACATTGGGGACTTCCCCGGATTTAGTTTACCTATACTTATGCATGTTATCTATGAGTAAGTTACAGATATGACAAGAAAGACGGCCGTTGTAGTATTGTAATACTACATATAAAATTATCAATCAATACATAGTATTAATCAGACTTGCAGAATGTATGTTCGCCTAAAACTTTACAACTGCTGGACCGATTTTAATGCGGTTTGCACTATTAGATAGAGCGTGAAGAAATGAAGGAGGTTGTGTAAATTTTAATCCTTCGAAAAGGATGTTAAAATATAACTAACATTTATTGTGAGTACGTATGAATAAATAAAATGTGTTAAGAAAATCAGTATTTTTATTGGTATATCTGTCCTGTGTAAGTCGGTATATTTCAGTATTTTTTTTGAGGTGCCTCGGTATTTTCGTAAAATTTAATATGGTCACACTGCTCACTACACCAACTCCGTACCGTCATCGCCTCACCTCAGTCGCAAGCTGCCCGCGCTCGGACGGCGGGCGGGTGGACACCGCGTTTCTTATATATAATTAATAGTTTAAAAAACTAAAAACACGTTTGTTGTAGCTTTCTTCTACAGTAAAAATTTATTCATCCAAAAAAAGAATTTCCCGATATTTTTTTACCGCGTACCGCTTCTACAAAGCGCGGCATCTCTTCAGTCTCAGGTCCATTAGACCAGCATTCAAACGATGTCCTGTTTTTCTTCGATATGCCCGAAGCCCTAAGTCTTCATTTAACTGCTTCTGCTTAACCCCATGTGAAGGTCCAACAGTTTCTGCTTACGTTTGGGATTTCTTTGAATTCGCGCCTTCACAGCTTTTATCACTGCTGGAGTCCTAACAGACCGAGGGCGACCACTTCTTGACCTGTCGTCTACACTAGTCTCCATTGTATCGTTTGATCGTACGATAAACGAATATTTTGGTTATATTAAAATTTTTCAGTATGTCAAAAATTTGAATTGGCACGTAACCGCAACGATGCAACGCAATAAATGCAACACGGTCTTCTTTAAGCGTCCACACATGTATACTTTTTAGAATTTTACAAAATGAGTAAAATTCTAAAAAGTATACATTTTATGAGTAAAATTAAAAAAAATGAGAAAAATTTTAATAAGTATAATAATAATAATAATAATCTTTATTTTTTCTTAAGATACATGCATAACCAGTAAATCTACAATACAGCATTATAAGAAAAGAGAGAAATACCTTACTAAGTACTATGTTTTAAAACAAAACCATATTTAATCGTTGCACATACTTAAAGATATCATAGCACTTTAACATAATAAAATAAAAGTAACTTGAAGCATCTTAATATGCTATTAACTTTAAAATAACCTACACTTTTTATTTGGACTGAGCCTACGCGGTACAAAGTATGAAGTTTTGAGATGATGTACTTACGAATTTGGGTTTCTGGTATTTACACTTCACTCACTGTATATGGCACTAGGTATTTACCAAACAGCATTTTTATAACTATTAAACATTGTTAAATTGCAGTCATTAAATTCCTAAAATATGATTTTTTTTCTGTTATGCAATTTTTTAAGTATTTACCTCCCGTGCTAGTTAAAAACTGTTTTACGGAGAAGCAATTATTCAGAATTAATTCGGCTAAAACGTATTTATACAATCTTTAATATAATTTAAGCACTTTAAATACTAGAATTTTGTGTTTATGTACACTAAATTTCTTACTTTTTTTTTTGTTACGGGTAGACAGTTAAGCTTTGCTACACAAAAAAATGGGTACTATTCCAACAGTTACCACAGTATATTTTAAAAAGACAGATACTTTTTCACTTCACAATAATCCTAAATATACACATTGAAGTCTATATATATATTTTTTTTATAATAATATAAATTAAATAATGATATTAATTACTACATAAATATAATAATAAAGATACGACATTAAATATATATAAATGAATAGTTTAATTTACATAAATATATTATATTTGCATATTTTCCCTCTTTATGTGGATATAGTATATAGATTTCAGTTTCTTATATAGATTTATGCTCGCTCGAATAATAACGGTATCTATTCCATTTCAATACCTAAATGGATACATTAAGTTAATAACTCCAATACTATCTCACAAATACCAATTTAAAACACTCTTCAACTATCTTACAATATCTGTGAGTGCTTCAGTTGCAATATAATCTAGTTTTAAAAGAAATTCTGTTAGCTTTTTCCCGCAATTATATCTAGTTAGGTCAAACAATTTAACTTCTTTGTTAATTCTATTATAGAGTAATGGTCCATGATAGTAATAAAAATGTTTGCCAAAATCTGTTCTGCTCATAGGCACCTTATACAGAGTATCATGTCTTCTTTTTGTCATGTCAATAATAGAAGGCTGACTATGTTGTTTTACTAGAATATATTTAATATATAGTTGTCGTACTGTAAGAACCAAACATTCTTTGTAAATTTTTATCGTAGGGAATCGAAAAGGTTTGAAGTTAAGAACTTTTAGTATGCACCTCTGTGCCCTTTCAATCCCTATCATAATAGTTTTCCTAGCACCCCCCCAAGCACAAGTATGAATTCAATAAACTATGTATGATTATGTATTATGTATATTATTACTATGTATTGTATGATTTTTTGTGGTCAGCTTTCTAAAAGAAAAGTTTTTACTGTGTGACAATACTTATGACCTGACTGTGTATAATGGTGCCAATTCTGGCGTAATTCTCTAAACTTAAAACTAAATTTAACATCAGTCTCTCCTTTTCATTCTGTATAGAGAATGACAAGAGTGATATACTGTTGTATATATTAAGACAAATATGCTGCTATCAAATTTAAGTTTAGATTAAGAGAATCATGCTAGAATCGACAAAAATATCTTAAAATCAACTCGAATCAGTTACATACAAACATATAGGTGAAACTAATAAAAGCGTCTTAAAAAGTAATCTGGGTGACCACCTGCTGCTCGCAAGCGAGAAACTTGTTGCGGGCTTAGATTAAAACAAAAAGGATAGATACGGTACGCTCATACTTGCATCAAACAAAAACTGTTCCCACGGCGGCAGCGCGAACGGGACGGCGAGATCCGCGTCACTGCATTAAGCCCGTCACAGACGTAGTTATAATATATATTAATATGAATCATAGCAAGACATATTACAACATATTTTCAATATAAATTTTCGAGTGATCGCACACGCAGCTATAATATATATTTCTATGACGTCACCAAAATATGTCGACAGATATATTTCGGTATATTACAGTACAGTACGACCGCAGACCGATTGAGGGCAAAATATATATTATAGTGTAG